ATACAATGACAACCACCGTTTATATTACATAATAGCATATGTCCATGTGTGAGGGTATTGAAAGTAGTCTCCTCAGGTCAAGGACTTCCCTGGTTTTGTTATGCTTTGTTTTTTTGGTTTTTCTAACCTCCCTCTCTCTCTCTGAGGTTGACCTGCAGAGAGCAAACATGAGATCAGCACTAATGAATTCACCTGGAAGGAATTCCCTAATCCTCCACCTCACCGTTACAGACCATTAGGCCAAATATGAGGGTGGAAGTGAATTAAAGCTCTAATTATTTTTGATGTGACTGATTATATAAGCTGTATTTGTTAGTCCCCAACTTAAGAAGTACATTTTACATAGATTTCTTTATTGTGAATTTACAATTGAATGAAGCCTTCTCGCTCAGATAAAGTGTGGATTGGGATATGGCAAAGTTCAAACTTTAAACAAGCTCAAGTACAGATCCTCTGTGGTCTGAATTGGCAAGCTTGCGTAAACCTGAAAATCATGCAAGACACTTTCTACACAAATTTTATGATCAACAAAAAAAATGAACTTGGTGTGGAAATGTAAAGCTCCTCACACCATCTCTGACCCGTGTTTACATGCATACTGGAGGAATGAACAATTAAAGCCAAATGAAGTCCTCTCAGAAGTGAAATCATTTACATAAAGCATTAACCACACTTCAGCTCTACAGAATGAGGTGCAAATAAAGGACAATTTTTTTATTTTTTTTATTGCCCATTTTAAGTCTTATAGATAGCGTAGTGACTGGAAATATCCAGATTTCTGGCTTTTTACAATTGTATTAATTAGTGACACCTGTTTATCATTCTGTGATTCCTGGCAACCGGCTCTTACCATTGCGAATTGCTCCACAGGTGTTAAACATAATCAACAACTAATTAACACTCGTCCTAAGGACACGTTTAAGAACAAAATAATTTTGTGAAATTATCCATAAAGCTGAGATTTTACAGCCAGTGCAAAGCGCAATGCTGCCTGCCGCCTTGGATGTCCTTGTTAATGTGATCAGTCCATGCATCAAACTCTGTTGCCATTTATAATACAGCCTTCTATTAATCACAACACTACTACCAGATATTTATCCGACTCTCCATCCCAATGACCAACACATCTATTTCTGCCTTGGTTAAACCGCTTTTTGTTTTTTCACTGTTTTCCACAGCTGTCATTGGCAAGCATTAAATAACATCAATCAGCTGGCTCAGTGACATTCATGCGGCGCTTTGCATAGAGCATTTATGGTTGGAGGTGGGTGTGTGGAGAGCCAAAAGAAGTGAAGCCTTGTGCACAAACTTGTGCACACCACTGTGGAAATTAAATTTATATGTGTGCACAAGGTTTATAAATCTGAAATGTTTTGTGCATAAGTCATTTTCAGCTTTTGAGCATATGCACAATTTAACTAAAGATCTCACACAATCTTTGATAAAAATAAAAAATAAATTTTAATCCAAGAACATTTGGTCACTTGTTGCTGCCTTTTTTCATGACAGACACCCACAGTGAGATCTAGAGGGTGAAATGGTCTTGGCAATTCTCAACAATACCACAGTATCTCTATTTCAATGTCAAGGTGTTGAAAAGTATACTAAACAGAATAAGTAATAAGTTGGGCAAATGTTTTTTTTTTTACCGAGTATATATACTATATCAAATATTTGAAAGTGTAACTTTAGCATAACACTTTTTTTCAAGCAAAACTGATTTATTCATTTATTTTAATAAGAACAGAAAATTCCTCCTAGGTATATTAAATACGTCAGCGCACGATATAAACTTTCAGTGAAACCTCTCAATTTTAAACGACACTGATTAAATGTATTATTAATTACAAAAAGATGGTTTAAAAGAAAAATTGGGGTTTTGCATGTTTTGTATGCTACCAAGGTTCTAAGGCATTTAGGCTACATAAAGCTTTCCATATTGGCTTCATATCGGCCAATACTGCAAATTATTAAATTATTTATTCACACTTGCAGGGTGTGTTTGAACATTTACAGGCTGCTAAAACCAAAGAAACAAAATAACTATAAAATATATTTTTTCTCTTAGATGGTAAAATGTGAAGTAATAATAAAAAAAAAGAAAAGAAAAACTTGGGATTTCAACATGGATCTGTACATCTAAGGTTATGAGAGATGTGTTGGGCATAAAAACTTTGTCACTGTGAATGTGTAAAAAAAATTTCATATGTAGCAAAACACGCAGAGCTATTGATTTGTAAACAGAACATGGCTTTATAAACTCGGATTCAGCACACCAAAAGGATGATTTTCAACAATTTCTAATGAAAGGCCCTAAAATGCATGAGCAATTTATTTCAGCATGCAATACAAGGGGCCGTGTTTGAGGTGATCTACAAATTTTGCTGAGCAAACGTTGCAATGAGCCAACTCTTTTGGTTCCATCCTTTAAAAATGAGATGACTGAGTGTGATACTGGCAGTTTGAGAGTGACCATCAAAGAAAGAAGAAAGCAAGCCATGGGGATAGAGGTACAGTAGTAATGATAATTACTTAAAAAAAAAATGGTTAATGATAATACTAACTAAAATGTATAGAGCAGCTCAAATATGTAGCCTATCTCAAAGCTACCTATACATACAAGGCAGAGAAAATTTGCTGTTGCGATCTCTTACTCTGAGTAATGCCCCCCTGTAATTTCTGACGGTTGAAATATGTTTACATGGGCACCGAATATCTCTCCATCCTGTGGTTTTCTACCCATCCCTCCTTTGTCCGCAGATATTTTTGTGTGTCAGTTTTCAGCTGACTTTCAGAAGTACTAAATAGACGCTAAAATTGTGGTGCAATTTAATTTCCTACTGGGAAAACCGCTTCCCACATGTGAAATGTTTACATCTGCATATCCTCCACCCATGAATTTGTGCAGATTGGTCATTAGAATATGATCTGCATACTGATGAAGGCAGACACACACACACACACACACACACACACACAAAAGATCTGCACACACAAACATATCTGCACCATTTTTAAGACACGGAAACCTTCTGAAGACCAGGCCCTCCTTTAGCTTAATCAATTAGGACTCAAATTATCACATATTCCCTCTGGGGGGAAAAACATCTTCCACATTATGCTTTGCAGTGGGTTCAGGTTATTACATCATGCTTGGATTCTGAAAAGAATAAAAATCCTTTTTTTTTATATTTGTATAATTGGAAACCCTATTTATTACCTGACCTCAGGAAAGGGCAGCTCTCATGCTGCTGTTCTTTTACAACACTAGAGTAACAAATCAATCACCAAGCCATCTTTTGAAGAGCAAAAGTGATAGAAAGAAAATAAAAGCATTTTATTCCAACCATCAACTGAGATAAGCACGTGGTAATATTTTAAAGTGTAAGCAATTACTGGTTCAAAACTGTTCAGGCAAAAGCTCAAAGGGCAAATTTATCGACAAAACAAATGTTCCTTTAATGTATTTGGAGCTAAATGTGAACCTGAACAAACAAATAATGCATAGATTGTATTAAAAACTTGTAATTTAACCACCCTGATATAAAAAAAAATATTTTAGTTTCCAAGGAAGGGTTGGTTTTTAGTAGAAAGTGAAAGAATTTAGGAACTACATGTAAACAAGAAAATATTTCTAGAATCATATTGATTTACTGAAAGGTTTTGCAGTTAAGTGGGCAAATATGTTTCTGTGAACGCATAATAGTAAAAATTATTATTTTTAAGACTTTAAGGTGGTTGAAATCACTAAAACATTTTGAATCATTCCAACAACAAAACACAAGGTGTCTAAATGATGCACATTTAAAAAATAAAACAAATAAAACTTGTCCAGATGGACTGATTTCATTAGCTGGATAGAGAACTTGTGATCAGGGGTTAGTTTTCTTTATATACCTGAAGTAAATAACAGTAACTCTTTATCCATTTGCTTATAATGGATCTTATATTGTTATTCCCAGATTTGGTCAAATTAGGCATATTGCATCTCTTCCTAAAATTATGCAGCCTTTATTGAAGCCAACCAAAATATACCTATCTTGCTTGTTAAGTAAGAAACCAAATGTGGTTGACCAAATATTTTTTCTTAGGTCACGGACCACACCCACATCTGTTTCATGTTAACCCTACAGATAAAACAAAAAACACTTTAACAGACCTAACTCGCAACATGTAGTAAAAAGGTTGTAAAAAGCCTTTTATTATAGTCTGATCTAAAACATTTAAAAAACAGAAAAGGTTGACATAAGGTTCATCAGCACAAACAGTCACAAAAGAACCCAGAACAACATTTAAAACCTTGAAAGCCAGGTAAATGTTTATAATTCAGAAAAATAAAAAGATCAGACTAGGAAAAACTGGCAACTTTAGAGTTTAAGGCAAAAACACCGGTGACCAAAAGAAACACCAAGACTTGTTCACATTTACCATAAGAACAACCTGATGATTCCCCAAGATATTAGGGACAATATTAGAAAATATAAAGTGATATCAGAAAATGGGACATAGATGTCAGTGAAGATTACTATGAATCTGAAGCGCTGCTCCAAATGTCTCTAAAACAAACAAACAAACGCTCAAAATGCTGCTTTGGATTGGCCTAGTAAAGCTCTAAAAGCCTTTCAAGGTGTGTTGACGTAAAGTTGAAGCCCTTCAGTAAGCTGTCAATGTGGTCATTTTTTTAAACGGTTCTAAATGGACTCCTTCAAATTCTTCCACAGTGATCTGGAAATTGTCCAAAATGCTGGATGCCAAATGCTGCTGCCAAGTAATAAGTAATTCTTATGGTTTAAGGGCAATCATTGTGTCGTATGGGGATAGTGACAGGTTGGTTGGATAGGAAAGGAGGGGAATTCTCATGATGTCTTTATAAATTTTAAAGCCTTTAAATATGTTGTTTTGGTGGAAAAAAAACTAAGAAAATAAACGATAATCATTTCAGAACATACAATAAATGATACTAGAACAGATTTTTAAAAAGGAAAAGAAAGAAAACTCACCTTTTGTTTCTGTTCCAAATGAAGCCCATCAAGCAGCCAAGAAGGAGTTCAGCCGGAAAAGCAGAATTATGAAAAGAAAAAGCAAGATAAAAAAAAGGGAAAGAAGCAAAAACAGAGCAAAGAGCGGAAACAAAGATGTTAGTAATGTCTAAAGCGGGCACCGATTCCAAGTTGGTTGTTAAAAGAAAAAAACAAAGAGTCGCACTGAATAAAAAGACATTTAACAAACCATTAAACAATCTCGGACAGTTTAGGTTTAGATTATATTTCTTCACAGTAACAGACTTGTCAAAAGAAAAATAGCAACCGAGTTTATTGTAATTGGAGAAAATTGCAGAATTTCTATTGATTTGTGCAAAAGGAGGTAATGTTCCTGCAGAGATTAGTGCTTTCGGTTTCTAATGAAACTGATAGCTGATGATGACAGTTTTGTAATTACGTCAGACATCACAGGTCAGAGCCATTTAGCCCTCATCTGAATGAAACATAATATCCCACAGATTGGTTCCCATCATTACAGGCATTAATGTACTAATATTGTCTGACAGATTCTTAATATGCTGGTACCTTTGTCTAACTACATTTCAGTGATTATAGAAAAAAAACGTGCTTTGCATTTTTAAATACAGAAATCATACTTGGTTACAGACTACATAAGAAATTAGACTCATAAAGGTGTTTTTGGAAAACAGAAGATACAGGTAATTTACTCAGTGATGAATTGAAGCTCTTCTTTGGGATGCAACCCGGACCCAGTTTAAGAGGCAGAAGTTGCATAATTATCACATGAGAATTTAGTCAATTTTTCAATGCAAGCAGTTGCATAGATCTGTTTTATTTTATTCTTTTTTTATTTCAACTAAAGGGAATTAGAACTGGGTTGGATGTGCGCAGTTATCCATAGTTAAATGGTGCATGCCTAATGAAAGTTTTGTCTTGAAAAAATAATTAAACACAGTTAAGTAGCTAGAGTCCAGGACAATTATATGTGACAAATCTGTTAAAGATTAGGTTAAAAATAAACTTTGTCTCAATTTTTTTTTATTTTTTTTTCCCAGATTAGACCGCCTATTCAGTGGGATTATACTCTTCATCAAGGAAAATTGGAATTCAATAATAAAATTACTCTTTTATTCTAGGTGCAATCTAGAAATGCACCAATCTAGTATTGATATCTGTATCAGGCAGATATTGAAGAAAGATCTACATTAGGTATCAGTGAAATAGTTTTTTTTTAAAAGGCTTAACGGTTTAACCCTTTATGGGAATCTTTTCACGATTTAAAAGTACACTTAATTTGAACTCTTTCAGCTCCGCATCTGCTTTGGGAATTTGTCCCGTTAAGAGGGACCCCCTAATTATATATATTTTATGAAATTGTTATACACCAAACTGGTCCTATAGTCACTCTATTACAGATGGAGTAAGGTAACAAAAGTAATTTCTCCCTGGAATTATTGAAGTATTTATGATTCTGATTCCTGGTTGATGGTGTTGTGAATGAAACGGTGCCCAGCTTGAAAGAGCTCCTGTGTGTCGCTGAATGTGTGCATTGATGACTGAAAGACGTCTTCTGCCTCCATTTATCTGTTCACTACAGTGTGTTGAATTCATGTTAATGTGTATTTAAAGACATTTCAATTAGTGGAAAAAATTGCAGGGGGGAATATAAAAAAAAAAAAAAAAAAGTCTAATCAACCAAAACTTTCCCCCATGCAGTACCTCTGTGGAACACCTAGAGATCTTGAACCCCCTATTGACGAACTATAGTGTAGGGAGGTTTTTTAGGGGTTGGGCTAAACCCAAGTTATATCAGATCTAATGCTGCCATATCCAAATATTTGTGGAAAGTGATTTAATCGTTTGGGGGTTGACCATTCCTGTTCAAACTCAACCCAACACCCAAAGGTGAAAAAAAAAAATGGATGACCGTGTTCAGTGAGCAACTCTGAGTGGGGTTTAACTTCTGTAATGCTGAATAAACTAATAATGCAACAGTTTAGAGATTGTGTAACAGACAAAAAACCTTTTTTCACAAACCCATTGTCTTTTTTCCTATTAAATTATTTCTTTTTTTCCTACTTCGATGCTTTTCCTATTTACGGTACTAAAAAAAAAACATTTATTGAATGGAAATAATCTAACTATACGTAAATTTAGGCTTCAATGTAAACTGTTGTAGCACAGAATCAATTTGTCAGACTTTTTTTAATTCTCAATTTTTTTCCCCTGTGGACATGGCCTGTTTGCTACAGATTGCACTACCAATACAGAAACGCGCGAGTACATACTCCACTTTTGAGTTATTGCATTATAGCAGAATTAAAAGTGAAACCAGTCTGCTACTGTTGGGCCAATTTTATTTCTTTTACTCATTTCTAGGCACTGATTTTAACTTTTATCTTCCCTGCACAGTCTTCACTTTTCGATTCGCCACACTGCACAGATTATTCTCCTGCATTAATGACTGCAGGATCTCGGTATGTCAGGAAAGAAAGGTGGCAAATAATAGAAATGTAAAGATTACACTAAACGAACATCTAAAAGTTTATGTCCTTCATTTGAGTTTATTGTAAAAAATTAAAATAAAAAAACAGATGAAAGAAGATTTCATCTTTAAAAAATGAAAAAAAACTAATCTTATCTTTTGGCTATAGGCTTTGATGAATGATAACATCTCAGGACACAAGTAGGAAGAAATAGAACCTGGTGCCTGTGGTTGCAATGGTTTGAACTGCTGTGCTTTTACAGGGACACAACAGCAGCAGGGCCAGTGAAGAAATGCATTCTGGACGAAGTTTAAAAGCAGTGATCAGGCAGCTCTGGTGTAAAGGACAAGCTAATGTTCAAGTATGATTATCCTAGAAGTTAAGATTATTGGGAATTAGCTTCCTGTAAACATTTTCTTTGTAAAATGCTTTAAAAGATCGTCTCGTCTAGTCTCCCACATCTATACAAAGCCAAAAACTAATTTGAATAGATGTAAAAATGTATTTAATGAATATCCTACTTCCAAAAGCCCTATTTCTGATTAATTTTCAATGAAATCCAGCAGAGTCAGCCACCAGTCGACTAGATGTTTCAGATTATGCAGGACAAGCAGTCTCTGTGCCACAACTGTGCATGTGAAGAATAAAATGCAGAGTGGTGTACAAGCAGAGTAAGGTTGGGCATGACTTCCCTGACTCAGTTTTGATAGAAAGCACTTCAGAAAAACAGGTTTTTCTAGGTATGTGCAGCTTCAAAATTCAAAGGGTCATTTTTTATAAAGTATTATGTATCCAGGCTGCGCGGTGATTGGAGTCACAGCACTACTGTCACACCTGAATATTTCTGTTAATCGAATAGTTAAAAGTTTAAGGATAGCAGTTAAATTTCACATCTACTTCGGTTCAGAACAATTTTGACCGCCCATCACCACCAAAATAAAATCACATATTTTTCACAAGAAAAAAAAAAAGCCACAACTGACAAAATTGGTGGTCCTAACAAAAAAAAAAAAAAAAAGGTCAGAAGATCTCCAAAGTATTAACAAGCAATTCTGGAGAAAATAGGATAACAATCTTTCCTATTTCTATCCTGACATGTCTCAAAAATGTCAATTTGACACCTGGACAGGAAAAGCCATGGATTACCAAACATCTGACATACACTGTTATCTGCAGACAACAAAATGATTGGGCCCATAAATCTACAAAAGAAAGACATTCCTAGCTTAGGGAGGTTGTGGCCCTCACAGTTAAGACGGAAAGTATTCAAACCCCTGATTGATTTGGATTTCAGGATTTAAGGGTCCCATACGCACCAAATGGACAGTTGTTTAGGTTAGTGTTTCTATAGCGTTTTGACTAAAACTGAAGTACTTGCATATGTCTGCTGCCCAGAGCAGGTAGATTATTTAATTACCTTTGTGTCAGATTATACAGTAATTTAAGAATTTATATGATTTTCTACATATTAACTAGTTATGGGAAATGCATAAAGAGGGCCCCACCCAGAGTACCATTCACTGCAAAAGGGTGAGTACAAAAAAATCTTCAAATAAGTGTATTTACTCTTAATTGAGTAGGTCATGATCTGCCAATTGAATGAGCATTCTTACCTTTAAAATAAGATAATTAGATATAATGCACTTAAAATAAGAGGCTGCAGTTGTCTTTTTTCTTGTTTTAAATGTAAATACTCTTAATTCATTGGCAAAGTGTCTCACTTATCTGCACAATTCAAGAAAAAATTCACTTATTTTCAGAAAAAAATTACTTAGATTTAGATGTTTTGCAGCTTAAGCTGTCACTCTGGTAGTGGAAGCTAAAAATGAGTGTGATGGCAAAGAGCCCCTCTAAACTCAAGAGACCTGGAGCCGAACACAAGTTCAATGCATTCGTCTTAGCCTTTAAAAGATGCCTAACTTATTTTTTAAGTTTAACTTAACTTAATATATTTTAGATCTAAATTTGACGGGCATGAATATTATATAATGGGAAGCTTTGAAACTAAATTCAGGGATAATAAAATAACCCTGCATTGAAACTATCAGTTAAAATGGTATTTAGACAATGAATTTGCTGTATCAAATGTCAAACAAAATAACTGCTCATTAACCACATTTTTAAAAATAACAATAATAATATAAAGAGCTGAAAAAACAAACACAGAGCAGCAGAAATTGGATGCAATGATGCCGTCAGCTGTGAAGTTAGATTGTCACTTTTCACCATACGAAGGTGGGAAGTCGGAAACACCCAGACAGCTCATAATGTGCTAATTAAAAGTAGAGAAAAATAGCTTTAAAGAACTTTAAAACCAACTAGTGCTAACTATACACTGATTGACACTAATTACTTAAGTGTACAAACATTTGTTATTTGTTTACTCCAAGGTCAGGATGAGCTAGACCTCTCCTTTTTCCCATCAACAAAAGTACCCAATAAAAACAGGTAATTAAATCCTTAACAACTGCCAAAGCAACATGCTTATCTTCTCTGTGCTGATGGCCATCCACACTGGGA